GGGACTGCTCTTGTACTTCGGCATCGCTGCGTGAGAGTCCTCAACGCCCCTTTCCTCTCTCTTCCACATTGGACAATCACATGACAAAATCGACTTTCGAGATTTGGCCACTTCAGTACAGTTGGCATTGAAGCTACTATGGTGCTGCATTTAAACACATTTTGGATGCTGCTTTATAGTGAGTGTCTGTCAAGAAAGCAGGTACCACAAAGTACATGAAATAGGTGAATATCATTAATAGGGTCGTACAATTAAAATGTATGTTTTAAATTGAGAATCTACTTATATTTATTACTTATTATATAATTATACAGTTCCATGTATTTGCTATGTATTATATGCCAATTGGACTTCTTGAAGTTTTTTGGACTATAATAAAATCAAAAACTTACACTCAGTATAGTAGAAAACTAAGTATTGATGAATAATGCGGTTATTTGGTCAGATTTTTCCGAAACTTCAATCGAAGTTTTAATTTGTTATTCAGTAAAGCATGTCATCATCTATCGTCAATGGACGCGCAAAGATGCACACTTAAAGCCTTCTTGAGATATTGAGTCTCTAATGTAACCGTCTAGCAAAATTTTTTGACGATTTTTATGTAGTGATCACTCATACTTCTAGGCCATCAAAGCTCGAATAGATAAATAAACAGCACATGTATACCACCTTCTGATTTTATATTGACCGTTTCATTTTAAAATTGGTTCTTTAACTCTTTATTAGGAATTAAATATATGATAAAATCATGCATAGGTTCCCTTGTCAGGAGTATACCGCCGAATAAAAATCTTTCTTGTCGTTTTCTTTATACGATGTCAAACTTTGTATTAAATTTATTACTGACGAGAGAACATCCCCAACCGTCAAACCGCTTTTCGCTTGGTTCTATTGCCATTCGATCAGTCTTGGTGAGTAGTGAAAAAGACTGTTTTGGTTTGGTTTTCCGGGCTTCTATTATCGACTTATGGGAGTTTTACCGGATTTTTGGCCTATGGGCATGTTATTGCATGAGAACCTGAATGATCGAATTTCGAGCTGAAATTTTGTCCATAGACAGCTCTCATAGTCATTAGAAAACCCCAAAGTTTGAGTCAGAATGAATATATCGTTATCGAAATATTCACATTTAAAAAAAAACCTCTCTCTTGGGCTGTATTTCCAAATAGAGATATTTTCAATACAACCTAATATCTCGACAAGGGCACGTTTGCTCTGGCTCAAACTTTGGAAATTTTCTAATAACTTTGGGAGCTGTCTATGGACAAAATTTCAGCTCGAAATTTGATCATTCAGGTTCTCATGGAATCTCATACCCATAGGTCAAAAATCCAGTAAAACACCCATAAGTCGATAATAGAAGACCGGAAAACCAAACCAAAATAAACTTTTTCACTACTCACCAAGACCAATCGAACGGCAATAGAACCAACCGAAAAGCGATTTGACAGTTGGGGATGTTCTCTCGTGAGTAGAGATGTGATATGAAAGTTTTCTTTCATTCTAGTATTCAGATTACACGAATAAAACTCTCATGTCATATCTCTACTCAGTAATAAATTTGATACAAAGCATAGCAGCATAAAAAGACATAAGGGAAAAGTACTTTTGTCCGACGGTGTAATATGATTTCTTTCATACTTTTATAATTTTTTCCGTTCGTGAAAAAACGTCGAACTGCGCGGTCTTTCTAAACTTCGTCCGCAACAGATAATGTTAGTAGAAATGAATATTTTGTGTAGTAATAGCTAACAAAGATTGCAACACACACTGTGAGTATCGAGAAATTTAGGTTTTAAACATAACTTTAGAAAATATGAAATAATTAGAAACTAATTTTAATACGTTTCAGGACATATTACAGAATGATTTCAAACTTCGCATAACATTTATAAAAATTTTCTACAACATATCAGAGAGGCATTCCTAAAACTTGCGAAATACTATCAACTGATCCGAAGTATTTCTATCATTTCATTTTTTTTGTGACAAACTTCATGACATCAATGAGCTTATTTACAAGCTTCAAATAGACTTGCTTTAAACCTGAACATTTGAATTTGATACGTTTCCTACAATATTTGTTGACTACAGTCTGGGCACTTTTTTCGTCCTCATCTGTACATTTTCAAAATATTATGTGATGCATAAGTAAAAAATTTTAAAAAGGAATCGCACCTTTTATGTAAGCTTTTACCTAGCTCAAATATTAATTGAGCTTAAGTGTTATTTGTGACTAACGTCAGTCAATCAGATCATAAACGGCCAGTATTATCGAAAAAATCCGACTGTGGAATCAATCCTCGTTAAGGTTCATATGGCTTTCTAACAATTTTAGATTAATAAGTATGTTTTAGTTTGTCTCAGTTATGTGCAAAACTTTAGTTCTTCTGAGTTATATGCATCGGCTGCTTACTAAACTTTTTATGATTTGCTACCAAGAGACTTTTTTCAAGTAATAAACTACTAAAACATATATTTTTTCTAAGGATGTTTGACATATATGTATATGAGTGCTCCACTTTAACCAAACAGTGAACTTTATCTTAAAAGACTTAAGATTTGCATTTAAGTAATTCGCACATTATGATGAATATCGAATGAAAACTATAAAATGAGTTCTAATTTCCATCCTAATAATTTTTATCTGCAAGGATTTCAAAGAGGGAAACAATTTATTCATGATAACCTGCCTCAGTTCCTTGGAGAATAATTAGTACATGGCAGATTGATATAATACATAATAATAACTGTATCAAGTATATGAAAAAAACATTATAGTGGAATATCTACTTTTTATGGTGTTATTCGCAGTTTTCAAAGGCCGAAAACTTCATTTTCTATGAATCTTTCGCATGAGGGAGGCTAGGTAAGCGCAGATAATCATTATGAAGTGTCAGGTATATGTACACAAAATATTAACTTAATAGGTGCAATCATTAAAAGAATTGCTCCTGGTCCCTTTCTCTGTCCACTGTGCCTTCTCTCCTCTACTCTCCCCGAAGAGCCGTCATCAATGCTTGTTTCTGTATACATTACAAACTCTGGAAAAATGGTGCCATAGAAAAACCAAGATTGCAACGAAATCGAAACCTTTTAAGGTTTCCTACGGACCTAAAACACCTTCAAAAAGACTTGTCAGGGATCTGGACTACTTTTTCAAGGCTTCATAGATTTCCTAGGAAACTTTCGTTGGTTCTGGATGGCACCTTTTTTCCTATGAAGTCTGTCATCAGTTTACAGTTCAGAAAAAATTTAAACCTAGTAAATAAATTCTGGAATACTGATATTTTGGTTACTAAGTATTTGGATAGGCAATACTGGCTCGAATACCTTGATTCAAATTCCATTATGACATTTCGAACTTCATAATAAAAATTTTGACCTTTTAGCTGCAGTGTTGTCGATTAAATCCTGAAAATTTAACTTATTTTCGAACGCAAACGAGACTTCTACTACCCCTATACAGTCTGTACTAACAATCAGAGACCGAAAATGAACCGAGCCCGAATCGGTTGTTTGCAATGCACTCGAACTGAACCGAACTCAAATTGATTTAAAAAAAAAACAAATACGAAACGAACCCAAAAAGGCTTTTAGAAAAGAAAAACGAATCGAACTGAACACGAATCAGCAAAACTTGGTTCGATTTGACCCCTGCTATCAATACACACTCTAAACTTTTTGTATTATTATTATTCTAAACTCATAATAGATGTAAGTAATTGCTGATCATGATTCATATATGCACCCTTTTATTTCGAACAGGAATATTTTTTTCAAGTAAAACTCTATTAGAGCTGAGAGGCGCATTCATCCATTGCTAACTGAGTTCCTAGGGTGTGGATGTGGGTGTGGGTGTGGATGTGGGTGTGGGTGTGGATGTGGGTGTGGGTGTGGATGTGGGTGTGGGTGTGGGTATCGTTTAACAGAACAGTTACGTCCATTGGCCATCCACACCCACACCGTATTCCATGTTAAAAGATTGTTCAATATGCAAGCTCAGTGGTGTGATCATTTTATACTAGCCAATGNGACTTCATCGGAATGGAATGAAACTTTCAGGGCTTGTAGGACTCGTACCTGTAAGCATAGTTATAGGTTCGAAAAAATTGAAAACCTTGTGAAGAGGTCCAAATGGGGATTATAAGATGGACCTTCCAGTCAAATTGGACCTTATCTAGCGCCTCTATTACAAATGCGAGAAGTCTGAAAATTTTACCATAGATGCCACCCGTTGAGGCGATCATTTTTTGTAGCGGATGTTGTTTTTTCCGTGTTCCTTTTTTTGTGAAAAAACCTGCAGAAAATACTAATTTTTGACGTTTTTTGGGCTGAAATATCTCTATGAAGCCCAAACAGAATTTTAACTTTTATTAGTGCTCTAGAATTGATTAACTGTCCTCTATCTAATGCTGAAACTCCCAGGTCTGTAGCTTGTTCCTGAGCCAAATGGCAAAGACATCTTTGGAGACAACTCTCGCATTTTTCCCAATTTTGCACCCATGCTCGGATAAAAATATGGGATTAACAAAATCTGTCCTATAGTGGAACTTCATTAACACACCTAGCTCTATCATTCCTAGTGGTTTCATCAAATTAGGTTGGATAGAAAAAATTCAGGACTCAAAGGGTTAAATCGCCCTTCCAGAAGAGAACATCCGGATAAAGCATTGCCACAAACTCCGAGACGATCAATCAAATTTTCGAAGAGACACCGTGCTACGTTTAATAAAACACTGTGAATCACACAAAATTTTCTATATTAAGTTTTTGTTTACCTACCTGATATTTTTTCATCATGTAAAAGTATTTTTGCTTCAGTATAAATTGCTTGAAGTTGATCATGGATAAGTATATCTTCGATTTTTTTAATTAATATTCCTAATGTTGATGAATGTAGATATGATTGTACTCGATGTACTTCTTCATCAAGACGTTGAGCTACCTATTATGAACATTGTTAAATATTTTATTAATTACTTTTATATAAACAAAAAAAAAAAAAAACCTTTCTTAGATATTCAGTTACAGAATTATGAAGAAGAAAAGTAGCTGCTTCAAGACGATAAAATTGTTCTGTCTGTTGAAGAAATGGTATTTCAAAATAATCTTTATAAATTGTCAATGCCGGAGATGTTGTATGATGATTATTATCTGATAAAGATGCGTTTTCAATCAAGCCAAGTTCAACTGAAAATTTTCAAATGGTTTTCTAACGAAAAAGAAAAGATAATTTTTCATTTGATATTTACCATAACTTTGTATAACTCCACTAATTAATCGACTATTAATTATTTCATTTTGACGTTCATCTTTAATTAATTGAAGACATGCTGATGTTACTTGTTTATTTAGTAGTTGAAAAAAAACTAGTTTCCAAATTTCCACTGCCATCTAAATTTATATTGACTTTTTTTTTTTATAATTAAACTGAATATAGATAAACAATTTAATTAACTTACAATAAAAATTTCATAAACATCTGTTTTTCCTGAATTATATTCGTGTCGTATCCAATATCGATTTAAATATTGACAAAAACCATTTGTTACTTTACTTGAAAATAGATAATGTTCCCAATTTGTCGTATAGAAACGAAGAACACTTTCTCCTTGTAAATCAAGTCCTTGCTACGTCGAAATAGAAAGTTTCTCATTATAAACAATAATTAGATATAAAATTATAAAATACGGAATTATCTAACTAATATACTAGTTGCTATAAATCTCAGTGGAATCGTCGAGAATTGACAATGAGACAACAAAAATTATATCTATCATTGATTCATTCGTTTCCTCGTTTAGCTTTAGCCTTAATATCACTTTCTTATTAAGTAACAAGTTAACTGAATGAAAGAAATTCTATCGGTTTTCGATAAGATCTTAGAAGTATATTTATGAGCACTATATAAGTTTGAAATAAGAGAACAGTTCAATGTTCAAAAATATAACCCAAAAACTGTTAAAATTATATGAATAACAATAGTGGAAAATGATGGTTTATTTTATCATTACTTTAACATAATTCTATGTTTCTAAGCATACAATTTACATCAATATAAGAAATTAATAAAGAATTTTGATGTCTACAAGAATGTTCGGATATTATATGAAACTTCTTTCATATTGTAAATATAATTAGTTATAGCTTATGAACTGTAACAATTACGAAACAATCCTTTCGAATTTATTTCTAAAAACATTTAATATAAATATATTCATTATCGAATCGATCTACAAAAATATAAAAATTATTTTAACAATATTGTTTTTCATACGATCCATATTTTAGAAAGTCTCGAGATTGCATGTATCCTTTTTGTGACTTCATTTCTCTTAAAAGTATGATAGAAGAGTATTAAATATTCGATTGTTTTGGTTTCAAGACAAAAGTTTGCAAAACGCAGAAAGCTAGGAATTTCAAAGAAAAAAAACCATTAGGATGAAGTGATACGTCATTTTCACCAATTTATTATTAATTATATCTTTATTCTTTTCGCAAAAAACATAAGAATGCATTTTAAATTTTGTCTTCTAATCTATTAATCAACCAAATTTTTATCAATATTAATTAATTGATATTCATTTTTTTTATCTGGACGTTCTATGGTATGACAGACTTATCTCGATTATCTGGTTCTCTTTTGTATGAAAATAGAATACTGCTATATGAGTATATGTTACTTGTATTTATCAGGCCCTGGCGGCATTTAGGAAGCTAAATGTATGACTTCTCCTATTTATACAATAGTTTATATAAAAATTCAGAATATATTTTATTAATTCACTTGTACATGACATGATGATTCTCATTATTACGATATTACTTTAGAAGTGGTTAATTCCGATTCAAAAATAAAAAGCCGTAAACTTTGACTTTTAGAATTAAAGAAATTTAACTTAAATATCTTTATAATCTCACAATTTAATTTTTTTGTATTAAAATTCTGCCAGACAAATAATCTTACTTGACAAATTTTTTCCAAATAAGTTCTTAAATGATTCTTCAATTTAATATACAATTCACCACCAGTAGTAATTGCATCATTTTGCGTAGTATTTTGTTCATTACTATCGACTAGTGTTTGTATTATTCTTATTGGAGGTTTTAATGAATATTCTTGTGCTTGAGTAGTTATACAATAATTATAAACTTGGCTATAATAAATGTTCAAATAATGAAATACATACAAAAAAAAAAACCATAAAAAAATATAATTGTACTTGCCTATAAAGATCCATATATGCCATATGCGACATTTCTTGAATTCGATATATGCGTTCAATGCCTTCTGATACTTTCATCCAAATATCATTCAAATTACAATTACCATTTGTATGTGGCATGTCTTGTGTAACTCACTGTCTTTATGAAAATAATACAAAAGAATATGAAATATGAAGCTAATTCACAGCAGTTAAATTTAATAATAATAAGTGACTCATATTCGTTTTTTCTCTAGCAGTTGCATCATAATTATGAAATAAATATTTGAAAAGAAAAAATTATACGTGAAAGATTTAATCAGAAATTCCAGTGGAGTTTTTCTAACCAATAGGATTTTGTTAAATCGAATATAAATATATACAGATAAAAAGCCCTTTTTGTAAAATTGTTTAGATTGTGAAAATACAATTGTTCTGGTACGTCTTACTTGTGTGTCATAAAAGAAATGTGTCATGGGTATCATCCATAAATGTCTGTTCTCTTTCTTTCTTTCTTTACATATAACATTTTGTTAACAACAGCTACATCTTTTCTTTCGTTCTGTCAAGTATTATTCATGGTAAGTTCTCTTGAATGTAAGTGGGGATGTTGATGTGGATAAATATAAGTGTGCGATGAGACAACAAACCAGAGATGTCCATCGCGGCTGAAAACCTGCCGCTGCCGCGCCGCGGCATTAGAAAAAAAAAGTTACCGGGGCGCTGCCGCGATGACTTATAAAAAAAAGCTGCCGCGCCGCTGCCGCGATGGTTTTCAAAAAAATGTTTCGAATTTCACTGTTGTGACCGTATTGGACCAGAAATATTGGTACTAGTCCATCAGATTCATTCAGTCTCAGGGTGTTTCATTTGTAAACAATGAAATTCTATCAAATTCATGCAGTTTTCCAATGTTCTCGAAAAAAAATGCTGCCGCCACCGCGCCGCTGCCGCGATGAGTTTTTAAAAATCTGCCGCTGCCGCTGCCGCGATGACTTTTAAAAAAACCTGCCGCTGCCGCGATGGACATCTCTGCAACAAACTTGCGCGCCTATTTCGTAATCATCCGATACTCACAACTACATCTACACTCTCACATACATACAGAAGCAAGATCATATTGTCAAGCTTTGATCTGAAACACGTCATACAAACTAGTTTGCATTGAAAAGTTCGGAAATCTTGGACTACGTCTCTCTCAGGCATGAAAATTTCACGATATAGGCCGCTTTCGATAGGAAATACACACAGTATATATTTTTCGAAAGCTTCATATCTGAGAGACGTAATCCAAAAGTTCTGGAATTTCTTTATGCAAGCTAGTCTCAATGACGTGTTTATGCGGCTTAAGTTTCAGATCAAAGTTTGACACTTTGATCTTGCTGCAAATGTTGGGTTCTACGACGAAATCTTCACTAAAATTATTCGATCTCTTCAGTAATAAGTCATAAGTGCAAATTCTTTGCAAGATAGACAGAGTTCACCAAAATCAAAAATATCTACTAAGTCTCGACTAGAAAGCTCTCCGACATCTAAGAATGTTTTCATGTCAGTTGATTATTTAAATAATGGATATAAATAATTATAATGCAATGGCGTAGCCAGGGGTACGACCGTAGGGCAATTGCCTACTAATTCAAAAGTAATTGCCCATGGGTTTTTTGAAACGATACCAATTGCCCAATGCCGAAAAATCTTGATACATATACGCGTACAAAAATCTAAGTAACGTCACCTTAATACATTGTATCTTATTGTGATCTAATCAAGTGTTCCTGCAAAATCAACTGACTATTTCTTCCATTAAACCAATGCTCACAATGATGGCAATTCAATGGTATTTTTTTTATCACAACACTCATTATTCCACTTAAATTCATTACTGGTTCTATATTTGCTTATTTATTCTTTTTGGCCTAATATATTCAAATATTGGAAAGCTGAAGAGTACATTTGTGAGACAGTTCAAAAAAAAGGTGTTAATGCAATTCCTGCGGGATTAAAATGTGAAAAACAATGTAGCTACTGTTACTAATCACGAGAATATTGTTTTATTCAATCTATTTTGACATCCATTTCTTTATCATCTTTTACTTAATCCTCCAGAACTGCAAGAAGGAAGTAGTTCATATATTCCGATGAGATGCGAGTGATCTTCTGATCGCTAATCGTATATCAAAACATCTGTCACCGTCTGTGAAGGAACACAGTGGACAGCCAGGCGACAAAATCGATTTTCGAGATTTGAATCTATGTCATAACTAGTATTGAAGCTACTATGGTGCTGCATTTAAGTGCATCCTGGATGCTGCTTTATAATAAGTATCTGTTAAGCAGCAAGTACTACAAAGTATATAAAATTGGTAAATATTATTAATAGGATCATATAAGTAAATTTGAGGATCTAAATCTAATTATAATCATTAGTTAGTATATAGTTATACAGTGTTATGTATTTACTATATTATATAGGTCATTTGGACTTCTTGAAGTTCCTTAGGCTATAGTAAGATCAAAAACTTACACTCAGTGTAGTAAAAAAAATAACCACTAGTCAATAATGCAGTTATTTTCCCGGAACTTTAATTCGAGTTTGAATTTGCTATTTGGTAGAGAATGTCATCATCTTTCTTCTCCATATGGGAAAAGATGAGCGTTTAGACCCTTATCGAGATATAATGTCTCAAATGTAGCTTTTTGTCAAAATTTGTTGGTAATTTTTATACAGTGATCACTTATGTTTTAATACATCAAGTTTCGAACAGATAAATAAGCAGCACATGTACACCAACCTCAGGTTTTAGATTGGCCATTTCATTTTAAAATCAGTTCTTTGATTCTGTCTTACGAATTAAATATATGAAAAAATCATGCATAGGTTTTCTGGTAAGACGTACATCTCCGAACAAAAATCTTTTTATGATGTCAACCTTTGTATTAATATTATTACTGAGTAGAGATATGACATGAAAGTTTTTTTCATTTTACTGCATAGATCACACTAATAAAACTCTCATGTCATATCTTTACTCAGTAATAAATTTGATGCAAAGTGTGGTAGCATAAAAAGATAAAAGGAGAAAAGAGTTTTGTCCGAAGTTGAAAATGATTTGTTTCGTACTGTAATAATTTTTACGTTCGTAAAAATACATCGAGTTGCACGATCTTTCTAAATTTTGTCTGAGACAGATAATATTAGTGGAAGTGAATAATTTTCGTAATAAGAGCTAACAAAGATTGCAATACATACTATGAATATTGAGAAATTTAGGTTTCAAATGGAACTTCAGAAAATATGAAAAATTCGAAAAATCATTTTAATATGTTTGAGGATATATTGCAGAACAATTTAAAACTCTAAATAACATTTATAAAAATTTTCTACAACATATCAGAGAGACATTGCTGAAACTCGCGAAATACTATAAACTGACCCGAAGTATTTCTATCGTTTTGTTTTTTTGTGATAAACTTCATAGCATCAGTGAGCTCATTTCAATATCACGACCTGACTTATGTCAAATCTAAACAATTGAATTTGATTAATTTCGTTCAATATTTGTTGACTCAAGTTTGGACACTTTTTTTCCATCCTCATCTGTACATTTTCAAAATATAATCTGATGTATAAATAAAAATTTTTTAACAAAGAAATGGGTCTTCTATGTAAGCATTTATCTAGCTAAAACTATTAATTGAGCTTGACTGTTATTTGTGACTAATGTCGACCAATCAGATCATAAACGGTCGGTATTATTAAAAAAAATGTAACTGTGGAATCAATTCTCGTTAGAAATTATATAGCTTGCTAACAATTTTAGATGACCAATTATGTTTTAGTATGTCTCTCTTATATACAAAACTCTAGTTCTTCTGAGTTGTATTTATTGTCTGCTTATTAATTCATTTATAACTTGCTATCAAGAGAGTTTTTCTAAGTAGTAAACTATTAAAACACATACTTTCTCTAAAGATGTTTGATATATACGGATATGTCTGCTTCACTATAACCAAACAGTGAACTTTTCGTTAAAGGTCTTAAGATTTTACATTTAAGTAATTCGCACATTAAGATGAATATCGAATGGAAACTATAAAATGATGTCTAATTTGCACTCTTATTTTTTTTTCTGCAAGGATTCAAAAGTTGGAAACAAATTATTGATGATAACTTGCTTCAGACTTTTGAGGAGTAATTAGTCCATGACAAATTTATATAATACATAGTTAATAACTGTATCACATATATGAAAACAAAATTTTTGTCTTATTTTTGCTAAACAATATTATAATGGAACAACTACTTTTTATTTTGCTAATTTGCAGTTTTTGACAGTCAAAAACTTCATTTTCCAGGAGTCTTTCGAACAAGAGAGGTTGGGTAAACTAATATAATTGCTATGAAGTATCAGCTATATATACACAAAATATTAAGTTATTAGCTGCAACCATTAAAAGAATTGCTTCTGATCCCCTTTTTCTGTCCACTGTGGGAGAGGAGGATCCGAATTTTTACCACTATACACTTCAACACTCCTTTTAGATCGTGTTTCACAAAATCGAAGAAATTCGCCTCGTGGCTGAGAGTAAGGAACATCTTTTCAATAACATCGGTTTTTGTGATGGTAATAAGTTTAAAAAATTGTAGTCCAATTCATTTTTAATTATCCATTGCTGGCCATTCCTCAAAATACATGTGTAATTTAGCTGGAAACGGCCCATGACTTAAAGATGCCTGGCTATGCCACTGAGTAGTAGTATGATTTTAGGCTTTGTACAACAGAGAATGATGTCACATAAATATTGGGCTCAGCACAAAGAGTTTGATTGAGTTCTTCGAGTGATACATTTTGAATAGCAATCGTAACCAAGGATTCGACAAGCAATATTAAACATTTCTTTGACATTTGAACTATTAATAACTTGTTGTCTACATGATTGTTTTCATTGTTTTGATGTATAAACAATTAATGATATTAAATTTACACCATACCAACAAATTGTATACTTTGACCAGAAAAAAAGAAGAATATTTGTTGTACATGCATCGATAAATAGCCATGATAAATTTTGTTCATCATTTTCATTTTCAAATTTCTCTCGATTTAGATTATCTTCATCAATAAATGAATTAAATACATATGCCATTTTCTTTCATTCTTGCTCAAATAGTTATGATTCTAGACCAGCAAATTGTTATGCTATCGCTATATTTCGATATAAATATGTAAATGGTGATGATGTTGATAATGGCGAACGTTCAACTGAATGACGAATGCTACTGTTAAGAGACATGTTGATCGATATAGAAATAGATTCTTTTGTGAGATAATTAACAACATCAAGAACAAACTTCTAATAAAATATCGAAATGGTGCTATTTTGGAAGAAAAGGTTATATAAAACAGATTTTCTTGTTCACTGATCACACTTGCTGTTGTCTGTTTAATTGCAATCTTAAAAACAAGGGTACGAGGTTTGGTCTGTGTGTTTGAATTCGAATCTCATGCTGATACAGACACCCGTACTTGATACACACATCCATGTGGTTTGCTTGCTTTTATCTGTTGTGTGTTGAAAATGAAATTGAAAAACAAACTTAGCAGGGCATAGAATACTTCTGCATAGTTGCAAATCTATTGCAATAGTATACTGCGACGAAATAGTTGTGAGAATCTTAACATTTTTTTTACGAGAAAAATGTAGTATCAACAAGAAAACTGGTAATAATACGACTGTTTTCTTTTTCAGATCTTTTAAAGTCAGTATTGTGTTATAAGAAACGGTAAAATATATATGGAGGAGTGATGTCATAATCCTGTTACAGCCCGTATCCATATCTATCCTAAGCAATTACGACATTACATACCTCGCGTATCAAATCCATTATCATCACCAACATCTACTGAGCATCTTTGAAAGTTGAAGAATATGAGTGGATTCAGTGTTACCATATCGTTACAGTAAATAAACTATGTATTTAGAAGTTGAGGAATGTTAGTGAATTTAGAGTATTATCCTTCGCATAATGCAATAAAAATGGAGATGGATATATCCTAGTGGATATAATTATTAGGAAATAGTTCTTTCATGTTTGATGTTTTGGATGGAACATTAAAGTATGTAGTATGGACGGTGATGCACTTTCGAATCACGGTCCTCATTCAGGTCCGACTGTCCGAGCACCCTCACTTGCTGCTTTGTCCTCCGGTCTTGTTTTCCGAGCACCCTCACTTGGCACTTTGCCCTCCGGTCTTGCTTTCATATGATCGACAGTTGAGCTAGGACGCAGGGTAATTGAAATTTCTTATGAGAGATGGTATGCATTTTATACTGTTGTTGCGTATGGTTTAGGAAATGAACTGAGGAAGCATTGAGCTATTTATACTCAACAATCGGTGATCTTCTGTTTTATAACGCGTTCTACTACACTTGTTCAACCAACTTTAAACAGAAATAATACTCTGTTACGAAATCTCAATACATTTATGCTTCTTATGGAAATATCTTGTTTAATGGCACTTTAGATAAAGAACCAGTGCCATTCGTCAAAGAAATATAAAAACTATGCTTCTTATATTGAATACGTGCAAAAAAAATTCAAACTCGTTGAATGTAATGTTCTTCTCATATCAGCAAAGAGAAATTAATATATTCACATATAAATACAATTTGTATCTATCTCATTGCTGACTCTAAACGGTTGAAATAAATAAATTAATCGTATACATATTTATATAGTGGGAAATATTGTATCCTTTGTTTACGTGCTTTCAATATTCCAAATATCAACATAGATTCCATATAGCCGATTTTCGTATTAATACGTCATTGCTGTCATTATGATACGTTATTTTCCATTACAATAAAAAGACCAAATACATGGATATAAAATATTTATTTTAAATTTAAATGTATCATGCTTTATTTCTTCTACGAAATGGTCTAAATACGAGTGCAGATACGCACTTGGAAAGTCAAACAACTGATATTGTTGTATTTGAAAAAAATATAATTTATTTCTTGTGGTCATGAAATCATTAAACTGAATCAACTAAAGCTCTTCAATCTTCAGATTATATAGCTAACTTTGAAGTAACGAGNCGTCAGGAATGCGTAGAGAGAAATAAAATACTCTGTTTTTCATGATAGATAGAAAAAAGGAAATGCGCAGCTTTTGCTGTTCATTATGTATGTTTCCACACAGGTAATTCAAAACAGAACGGTAGTTACAACGAGCAAAAATTTTTCTACATGCTCAGCCCAAAAAGAGTTGTTTAAACATTCATATATTTGCTACAAAAAAGTCAATAAAAGGCACTCTTTACAACGTACCATTTGTCCATTGGTTGATGGTATTTCATAGTACAATTGAACTCGCTTTCTCCTATCGTCAATTCTAATCTGCACTCTTTCAAACTTCATAGTGCTATACAGTGGCGTAGCCAGGGGTACGGCCATTGGGCAATTGCCCACTAATTCAAAAGCAATTGCCCATGGGGTTTTTGAAATGATATCAATTGCCCAATGCCGAAAAATCTTTATACACATACGCGTACAAAGATCAAAGTGACGTCATCTTAATACATTGTATCTTGTTGTGATCTAATCAAGTGTTCCAAAAAAATCAACTGACTATTTTTTCCATTATACCGATGCTCACAATGATTACAATTCAATGGTATTTTTTTCCCAAAATACTTGTTATTCCACTTAAATTCACTGCTGGTTCTATTTATGCTTATTTATGCTTGTTGACCTAATATATTCAAATAATTGAAAGTTGAAGAGTACATTTGTGAAACAGCCCAAAAAAGCTTTTAGTGCAATCTCTACGGAATTAAAATGTGAAAAACGATGTAGCTGTTGTTACTAATCGCGAGAATATTGTTTTATTCAATGTATCTTGGGATCCATTTCTTCATCATCTTTTAATTGATTCTCTAGAACTGCAAGAAGGAAGGAGTTCATATATTCTCATGAGATGCTAGTGATCTATGACCGCTAATCGTGTATCAAAAACGTCTGCCACAGTCTGTGGAGGAAGCACAGTGGGCAGGCAGGTGACAAAATCGATTTTTAAGATTTGAACCTATATCAGAGCTAGCATTGAAGCTGCTATGGTGTTGCATTTAAGTGCATCCTGGACGCTGCTTTATAGTGAGTGTCTATTAAGCAGTAGGTACTGCAAAGTACATAAAATTGGTGACTATCAGTAATAGGACCATATAAGTAAATTGTATGTTTTAAATTGAGAATCTAATTATAATGATTAGTTATTATATAGTTATACAGTCTTATGTATTTACTATATATTACAAGCCGTTTGGGCTTCTTGAAATTCTTTAGGCTATAATACGATCGAAAACTTACACTCAGTCTAGTAAAAAAATAACTACTGGTCAACAATGCAGTTATTTTCTCGAATTTTCCCGGAACTTTAATTCGACTTTTAATTTGTTATTTGGTAGAGCATGCCATCATCTATCTTCAGTGGATGCGCAAAGATGCGCGTTTAAACCCTTGCCAAGATATAGTGTCTCAAATGTAACCTTCTATCAAAATTTGTTGGCAACTTTTATACAGTGATCATTCATGTTCTAGTTCATCCAGTTTTGAATAGATAAATATACAGCACACGTACACCAACTTCAGGTTTTAGATTGGTCATTTCATTTTAAAATCGTTTTTTTGACACTTCCTTAGGAATTAAACATATGAAAAAATCATCTAAGGTTCCCTTGTAAGACGTACACCCCCAAACAAAAATATTTTCCCTCTTTATCTTTTTATGATGTCAAACTTTGCATTAAATTTATTATTGAGTAGAGATATGACATGAAAGTTTTATTTCATTTTAGTGTACAGATGACACTAATAAAACTCTCATGTCATATCTTTACTCAGTAATAAATTTGATGCAAAGTGTGGCAGCATAAAAAGATAAAGGGGGAAAAGACTTTTGGCCGAGGGTGTAAATGATTTGTTTGATACTTTTACAATTTTTCCGTTCGTAAAAATACACTGAGTTGCACGATCTTTCTAAATTTCGTCCGAGACAGATAATGCTAGTGGAAGTGAATAATTTTCGTAATAAGAGCTAACAAAGATTGCAATACATACAATGAATATCTCGAAATTTAGATTTTAAACAGAAATTCAGAAAATATGAAATATTCAAAAACTCATTTTAATACGTTTCAGGACATATTACAGCATGGTTTCAAACATCACATAACATTTATAAAAATTTTCTACAACATACCATAGAGACATTGCTGAAACTCGCAAAATACCATAAACTGACTCGAAGTATTTCTGCCATTTCGTTTCTTTTATTACAAACTTCATAGCATCAGTGAGCTCATTTACATGTCACAACTAGACTTGTGTCAAACCTGAACATTTGAATTTGATGAATGTTCTTCAATATTTGTTGACTCGAGTTTGGGCACTTTTTTCCATTCTCATCTGTACATTTTCAAAATATTATCTGATGCATAAATAAAAAAGTAAAAAAAAGAAACTGTGTCTTCTATGTAAGTATTTACCTAGCTAAAACTATTAATGGAGCTTGACTGTTATTTGTGACTAACGTCTGCCAATCAGATCATAAACGGCCGATATTATCAAAAAAAAATGCAACTGTGGAATCAATCCTCGTTAGAAATTATGACTTTCTAAAAATGTTAGATTGCCAAGTATGTTTTAGTTTGTCCCTCTTATATGTAAAACTCTAGTTCTTCTGAGTTGTATGCATCGCCTGCTTACTAATTTATTTATAATTTGCTATCAAGAGGATTTTCCCAAGTAATAAACTACTAAAACACATATTTTTTCTAAAGATGTGTGACATATACGTATATGTGTGCTCCACTATAACCAAACAGTGAACTTTTCCTTAAAAGTCTTAAGATTTTACATTTAGGTACTTCGCACGTTAAGATGAATATCGCATGAAAACGATAAAATGATGTATAATTTGCACCCTTATTACTTTTTTTTCCGCAAGGATTCAAAAGTTGGAAACAAATTATTGATGACAACTTGCTTCAGGCTTTTGAAGAGTAATTAGTCCATCGCAGATTTATATAATACATAGTTGATAATTGTATTCAAGTGTATGAAAAAAAAAATTGTTCTCTCATTTTTGCTAAACAACATTATAATGGAGCAACTACTTTTTACTCTGCTAGTTTGCAGTTTTCGACAGTCGAAAACTTCATTTTCCAGAAGTCTTTCGAGTAAGGATGATTGGGTAAGCGCAGATAATTGCTATGAAATGCCAACTATAAGTACACAAAATATTAGGATATTAGCTGCAATTATTAAAAGAATTGCTCCTAGTCCCCCTTTTTCTATCCACTGTGGAGGGCGGTGGGGGAAAAGGGGTTCAAATTTCTACCACTATACACTTCAACACTCCTTTTAGATCGTGTTTCACAAAAGCGAAGAAGCTCGCCTCTTAGCTGAGAGTAACAAACTTCTTTTCAATAACGTCGGTTTTTGTGACGGGAATAAGTTATAAAAATTGTAGCCCAATTGATTTTTAATTGCCCATTGCAGCCCACTCCTCAAAATAATTTAGGTGGGGAACGGCCCATAACCTAAGGATTCCTGGCTACGCCACTGATTATAGGTATTGTTGCTTTACTCTAACGTAACGTAAGATCATCTTCATCGGACTACCAACTATTGTTACATAGCTGCAAGGCGATAAGTTTCGAAACACCAACACACTCTTTGTGTAAATTTTCGTACGAAAGTCATAGCATTCAGCCATTTTCTAGCTCTTGAGTATCATAATAATCCTGAAACTCAAATTTTGGCAGTCGGATTGGAAGCAAAAAAATAGAAACAAATCAAAGAAATACCTTATTGAACTTCTTAGGATGAGAATTTTACAGAAAGTCCACATGATCCGCTATATTATGTTATGCGTATGCATGATTCCATTTATTTTTATCGTACTTTCATCCTTGTATGGCATTCAATGGGGCCTTGTTATCCTACAACGGAATTCTTACAGAAAACATTAATGGTAATGATATGTTACCACCTAGATCTCGCAATACAAAATCGTATGAGGTGACACTGTTTACTTTCGGATTTTAATAATTCGTTAATGGCTAGGGTGTGAGTGCGGGAATTCGTCTCAACTACCCACACCCAAACACTTCTTATCTATATAAATAATAGTAGAAAAATTTGTTTTCATGGTGTTTTATCATACACAATGTTCAAGAAAGTCGAGTCGATACAATAAATACAACAACATCAATTACAGCAAGAAGTATTATTGGAAAAAACTGAAACTTATGTTAATATATTATCTATTATCAATATTATCATTGTTTGTTTTGTGTTTGGTGGTCCTCGAAGTATTACTATAATATCTGGAGTTTATGTCGTCTTTATTTGTGGATATGGTTGTGAATATCAGTCTTCTTTTCAAATCCACAATCGAATCCGCGCCTACGCCCCACATCTTGAATACTATCCTTTATTGCATTGTCAAAAAATGAGGCTTTGAGAAATACCAACGATTGAAACTCGATTGAGGTCGATACTTAATTATTGAAATAAAAGATGCCCAGTAGAAACTATATATTAACAGCTTTGACGGGTCTGCCTTTCCAAATTCATTTTTAAATGTAAAAAGATGCCAAAGCAGTGCTCTAATATGTGTTCTGATGTCACTGTTTTGAGGGTGTAGGTGTGGCTGTTCATGTGGGTATGAAAGGAAGCCATCCACCCACATCCACACCCACAGCTACACTGACATCCACACTCATAAAAATATTTATCACCGAAGGCGGTCACGATTGTCAGATGAAAGAAACTTTTAAGACGTAAAAACTTCGTAACATGTCACTCGAATTAAACGAGAGAATTCTTAGACCAACTATAATTCTATAGTCGTTACTTGTCGTGTAGCAAAAAACTTTTTATTTTACTTTACATGATGTTAAAGAAAAAATTTATTTATTTCCGTATTTTGGAAAAAATAAGTCGAATTCTCAGAACTTTTTTTCGTCTTACCAACTAATCCCCCCCCCCCCTCCCGGCCAGCCCATCCCTGTGAATAATCGCGATGGGACTACAGTAGTTTTTCGTTGATTTTGAAGTCCAATGAAACTCTAAATGATTGAATCAAACTTTCCCAAACAATCAATCTATTTTTTCTAATTGTAATAGAAAACGAATCGATTTCTGATGTGAAATAGTTTTCGAAATATCTTCAAAGCTAGCGTCATCTACATCAAAATTTTATTCATATCTCCAGAATCATCTTTCATCAGAAACTACACTATAGATATTTGAAATCAGAAAAATTAGATTGGTTTTTTTGTGAAAGTTTCATCCAATCATTTTGAGTTTCATCACAGTAACAAGAAAATGTAGTTAAGGGGGAATCCCCACTCCGAAAACTATCTTCTAAACGGTACAACAGATTTCGATGAAAATTTCAGGAAATAGAAAAAATGATCTAACTAGCATATGAAAAAAATTGAACCAATCATTTCTTATAATTGAGATATTATACAAAATTTAGTCTTAAAAACGGGGCCTTTGGCACGGAACATTTTCCCGATACTAGGTAGCATGCAAAATGTTGAACTTTGTTTCAAAATGAAAAAAAATCTTTTATCTAGAAATTGTAGAAACAGTTTTTTGAAATTCATTTTCGTTGAACTGTAATGACCATTTCAAACTGAGAATCGCGAAAACTGTTTTGAGATCTTTCAAAGATTTTCATATATCTGAACAATACATACATATTTTAAAAATCTGTCCCTACAATTTGTAGAGAAAACTTCGATCTTTCGAATAAATACGAAATCAGCAATATACATTAAAAGGTGGACCGGGAAAATGTTCGAGTGGTCAGGAAACAGTAAAAAACGCAAAGTTGAGAAAAACGAATAACAACATTGTGAAGTGATTTGCAGCATGTCTATGTAGAAATTTGCAACGTGTTATATATCGTTGGAAAGCACGCTAAACGTTCTTCCATTCTATGATATTTGTGACAAAAAATAAAACAAATTTCGAAATTCGAGTCTACTGTAGCACCACCTTTTCCAGAATTTGCTCTGTTTTGAAACTACAACACCTTTGTAAAACCATCAAAACAAATTCAGAGCATGATTATTCGAGACGGAGATTATTTTAGAGTACCAAGAAGTACGAAGAAACGATAATGCATAGCTCCCGATAACTAAGGAAAACACATTCAAACAGCCTATATTCTCGTATATAGCCTTCGAATAAGCGCGTCAAAACTGGGTTAAATATGTTCTTTTCATATATAATTTATACATATTCTGAAAGAAGACACTCAGGGCTACGAGAATAGACTCTTTTTGAAAAATCAATTTTTTTAAGAAAAATCGACTTTCGGAGGGGGTTCCCCCTTAATTGCGATTTCTCGCCTCGTTTTATATCGTCAGACAACACACTATTCTCGACAGGAAGAAGAAAGATGAACCATGATGTATCTAATCGCCCAAACCTCCTCCCTCTTTCTACATGTCTGTATCTGCAGGGCAAACAATTCTTTTACTTCGTCGTTGTAGAAGTTTCGTTGATAATTATCATGAATTTTTCAACTCTTTCTTTGTGTTTTGTCGGACTATAAATTCATCTGACACATGACGTAATCGAATAAAAAAGAAACATAACCAACAACAGTTGGGTAGATAAACGATACTTGCTTTGTAAGCCAATGAAATGTTTGTTTTACTTGGCAAAAGGAAAATTCCCTTGACTCATGTTTTGGAAGTTTCTTTTTGTGACGTATTGACATTAGTCATTATTATTTTCATATTTCATTTGTTTCCTTTCTGTTCTTTCATTTCGTAGAACGAGTCATCGCCATATGTATCTATATATATATATATACATTTGTTTTTCTTAAAAAAGCATTATTACTCTTGTTCGTTTCGTTTCGTCTATCTTGTTTCTTTGTTTCTGTTCTTTCCGTCAATAAATAAGTTATTGACCTTGACCTTATTGTATTACGCAATTGATAATACAATATTCTCTTCTGAATTACGCATTTAACTCAAATACATGACACTTTTTATCTTTCTAAATAAGCTCTTGTGTTTTAGATCTTCGTGCTCGTATTATTTTTTTGCCATAGGAAAATGTCTGAAGAAACAACGAATTATCTTTGGGCAATAAAAGATATACTGGGAAGTGGTGCTACATCTCAAGTATACAAGGCTTATAATAAAAAAACAGGAGAATTAGTTGCTGCGAAAGTCTATTCAGGGTCATCTGTACAGCATGCACAACATGGTGGAAAGCAAAATTGTCTTCAAGAAAAAGATTTCCGTCGAATATTAGATCATGAAATGGACATACTTAAAGCTACTAATCATGAAAATATCGTTCGATATATTGCAGTAGAGCCAGTTAAACAATCAAATTCACCATCCTCAGTGGGTAATCGTGAAGCCTTATTTATTGAATATTGTAATGGTGGAAGTTTACGTAATGTTCTTGAATCACCTGAAAATCGTTATGGTCTTATGGACGATGAATTCATGTTAGTTTTTAAACATCTTACCAATGCACTTAAATATTTACATGATACACATACCGTAAGAGAACAAAAAAAAAAGATTCATTTTAGGAAAAAACTAATATTTTAGCCAGGCCTTGGCTATTTTTGTTAATGAAAAAGGATTATGAAATTAGGATTAATTGTTTGGTTTTAATTTCTATTCTATCTTATCACCAAAAACTTTGAAGTATATAGTTCAATTAAATCAATTAAGTTCGAAACTTTCCCATAATGGGTACTTTTTCTTTAATAGTTAAACATTATTTTCATTGTGATTATTGTATAGGGATCTTGAAATAGTTAGATATTTGATTATGGTCTGAGTTTAATCATTGACTTAAAAAATACACAGAAAATTTTATACGACTTACTTTAGCTCGGAAAGTTCATTTTAGAGACCATTAGTCCATAATTTTCGGATCCGATCGAACAATCTTGTGATTGATCTCAATGAACTTTTCTAATCAAAGTTCAATAGTCTCTCCAAAGATATGAGATACTTTTTTCTGATTTTTTTGTATACAGTGACCTAGCCCACCCGACACGTTTCTCAGACGATTAGAGTCCGTTGGATTCAAAATTGTCGAAACCAGATTGAGGAGTGCAACCAACTCAAGGGGCTCTAATTCATTTGGACTCAATATAGACTTTTCTTAAAAATACTTTTATCTTTAGCAAATAAAAATTTAAAGAAATTCTTAATTGATTTTGCAGAATATTCCCAATTTTTAGTCAGATAAATCATATTCCCTTTTTTCTGAATATAATCAAATTAGAAAAGTATATTTTTGCTCATGTCCGTTTAGTTGTTTACTATCTATAGTTGTTTGTTTGAGCCACTGGATTGATATTTGACAAAAAAAATTCTTCTGAACTAAGAGTTCATGGATAACGAACGTACGAAAAATGTTTCGCTTTTTCTAAGCATTTTGTAAGAGAAGAACTTATTTAACCGTATGTCTAGAAAGAAGTTCGGACACCACAAAAGCGATTATTGATTAAGCGTCCTTTGTGTTTCGCTTGAAACAAGATTTATTATTATTATTTTGATTTAGATTCATCGTGATATAAAGCCAGATAATATAGTACTTTCGATTAATAATAATGGTGAACGTACCTATAAATTAACTGATTTAGGTGGTGCTCGTCTTATAAATAAAGATGAAACTGCATTCACTTCATTGGTTGGAACGCCAGGATATATTCATCCTGTTTTAAATCAGTAAGGAAAGATAAGTCTTTTTTTAACAATTAATTAAAATTTATATTCTTCTAGAGCTGCTTTACCTGATAAAGACGTGAATATTTTACCAATACCATTACAAACGCGCGTTAATTTTCCATTTGAAGTCGATTTATGGTCAGTTGGTGTTACACTTTTTCAATGTGCAACTGGTTTGTGATAGAGATTTGTTTTTTTTAAATGAATGTTGCACTTTTTTAGGCGAACTTCCATTTCAACCATTCGCTGGTATACGTAAAGATCAAGTAGTTATGACACGTATTTTAAATTCAAAACCAATTGGTGCTATTTCTGGTAAGAAATTTCTTTGTACTTTGACGAAATAAATTTTGTTTTCTTTGAAATAGGTATTGAAAAAGTACCAGGTGGAGAAATTCAATGGTCAAAAACATTACCAGATTCATGTCGTTTATCATCAAGTCTTAAAAATCGACTAGAAATGTTATTACAACGCTTACTTGAATCACAACTAAATAAATTAATGAGATTTGAAGACTTTTTTAATGAAACTGATGATCTTCTTAATTTAATGCCAATTTATTATTTAAATTTAAAACATTTTAAATTATCTTGTGATTATTTTGAGCCAACACAATCGATTATGAAATTACATGATGAATTAATTAAACGAAATGTGGAGGAAAATCATGTTGAATATTATTGTTTATTTCAAAAGTATGAAAATATTAAATTTAGAATAGGAGATATAATTTAATTTCGATTGAGTTAGAGAGAAAATACATTGAAAAGAAATATGAGGTTTAGAGAAATGATCAAAGATAGAATATTTGGTTGCTATTAGTGTTTTATCGAAATTTTCTTTTGCGAAGAGACGATTTAAAAGTTCTTGAGAGTCGTCGCTTGCTTGGCTACCACACCAGTTAGTATTAAAGTAATCCTATTGAGTTTTGCATGTGATTCTTATGGGGGAATTTTTATTAGAATATTGAAAAGTTTGATCGGACGTCTATAGTTTCTTGATGATTATGTAAAAGCGGCAAGATTACTGTCATAACTGAAATGATTAAAATTATTCTTTCGCATCCTATTTTCGGAATGATAAATAAAAAGAACTACTGATATCAGTTCGTGAACGATTTTTATTGAACAAATCCATAACTATAAGATTCTAATCCTTCGTGGACAAGAATACCGAAAAAAACAATTTTTTTATCAAAATGAGTTCAGTGTCGATAGGTAAAAAAATGATGTTCTATATTTGTTCATATTAAATTACTAGTATTCTACTAAAATCAGACTTTGGATTGTTTTTTCTACGATGTTAAGCAATTAACTTAACTTCAAATAGCGTTTTCCGTAGCCAATGAAGTTCTCTATCAAGCGTATTCCATACCGAAATTTTACAGATTCTCTATAAGAGGAAGATTTCTAAAAAACCAAACAAAGTAGTTTTCACGTCCCAGAAAACTGTATGAAAATTAGCTTTGAAGAGTACCATCTTAATAAGTATATAATTCTGAGTAAAATGGGTGATCAGCACATGCCCTGCGATCTTGCCTTAAAAAGTTATAAGCATAAGGAAAAATGAAAAAATAAAAAACGCATTTTGTTGTGATCCTTACTACTTTTTAAGGAAAGATCGTAGAAGATATGGTGACCACTCATTTTATTCTTCAAAACGAATTTACACGAAGTCTTCTGGAACCTGAAAACTACTGTATTAGGTTTTTCTTCTCATAGTTCATCTATAAAATTTTTGTATGGATTAAATTTCATAGAGAACTTTATTTGCTATTGAACAAAATATTCAGATTTGATTTAAATGGTTGATCCGTAGGAAAATTGTTCAAATATAAGTTGATCTTATAATTTTTACCAATTACTGTTTATTAAATATCTTATTTATGCTAGTGTACCATATCCAATATCAAAAGCTAAACCAATGTCAATCAAAGCATTTTGTGAACAATTACCAATTCCAACATCACGTGAAACTCCACTTGTTTTTTATACATTTTCGCCATTGAAAGATGGTGATTTATATTCACCACGACTTCATGTACCTGATATAAAACCAATTCGACAATATAATGATGTTGTTGCTACATTTGATTGGGCTAAAGATATTGTTGGATTATTTTTTTATCTTAAAAGTCAATTAGTTGAATATCAACATATATTACAAATAGCACAATGTTCAACTACAATAATGCAACAACAATTAAAATCAAAATTATTAGAATATCTTTGTTCAATTCGTTCAAAACTTATTCTTTTTCGTTCTATTGAAGAATTAAAAAATGTTCTTGATCAAATAGATATTAGTATAAGTGGGCAAACAACACCAACAAATAGCTCATCATTGAGTTTAAATAATGGTAATCAATCTTTAGGAAGAACACACCGTAATGGAGAAGCATCATCTATTGATTTTTCACATTTATTAACTAATGTATCATCAAATGATAGTGATATCGCATTAGGTAATTTCTATTCATATTCGAATATTTTTTTGTATAAAAAAATATCTTTTACTTCATAGGAACAACAAATCATCCACAATCTGCATCTTCAATGCAACTTCTTACACAACGTACTCTTACTTATCTTCGTTTATATTCTCAACTATATGATCAATTAAAAGAATGTGAAGAAAATATTTTAAAAATGATTGAGAAAGAATTTGGTGGTAAATTAACTGTGATTGAAGATCAACAACCATTTGTTAATACACTTTCGTTATTACATCGTACTACAACATATTCATCATGGATTCATCGTACAGATAAACATCTTAAAGATTTAAATGATCTTTATGAAAGCTTTCGTCAGGTAATGAATATCTGATAGGGCTAATAATACCATGTGATTTAAATCATAGCTAGCAGACCAACGTTGTTGGCTCATGCGTGATGTAATATAATTTTCCATAGCATAAATCGAAAGATAAAATAGTGCCACAAGCTCATGACATTACGGGAATGTGGATTATCCCTTGGCAAACAGTCACCGACACCTTTGAAAACATTTCGATAAATCTACTGTGTCTTGTAGGAAATTTTTTTTTCGATAATTTATCTCTGTTTTTTGATCCACTATATTGTACGAGAACTTGCCATTATACTATCTTCGGAAAAATTAATTAAGTATATAATTGAAACTAGAATGATACATTATAGTACGATTATGAAACTTACGAGGGAATGTCTACAAGTTTCATTCGCTAGTCGAATTGAAATTTTGCTCATCAGAAGATTATGTTGGCTTCGGAATGCTCTCAAAATTTCAGCCTAAACAGATATGTTTTTCTTGAGATATTGAATATTGAAAAACAATAATGCATCACAAGGAAAGGTATGAAAGCCCAATATTTTGAATCTTTGATATTTCAAGAACAAAAATCCTTTTTGGCTGAAATTTTCAGAACATTCTTAAGTCTGAAATACCTGCAGAATTTTAGAAAATTAGATCCTTAGTCCAGGTTTTCAATCGATTGCAACAGGTATCGTTCACAGTAGTTAGTATGCTGGAATAAATGTTTGTGAGAGAAAATCAGATAAGTGACTTAAATAACATTTGTGTCGTGAGTCAGTGTTACTCAAATCAATCCATCTTCGAATATAGTGATTTGATCTGCCACAGGGTAGGACGTCAATAAAAATAGTTTCTGCGACATGCATTTGTCATTCTTAAGTCTGCGAGACCTCTTTATAGGCAAAACTTCGTACTTCAGTTTTTTTCACAAATATTTTGAAAATTCAGTAAAATTTTAATAACATGGGAAGGATAGAAGTATGGTGACGAATACTTATAGTCTTCTAGTAATCTCGTCGGAACATACTTACGGGCAAAATATTAGCTTGATTGGTGCGTCACACTTCAGAATATTCCCTCGTTAGTAGGTTTAAAAAAACCGAAATATTTGTCAGGTTCGTTTGTCCTGGAGGTCAAAACACAAGTGGACTGTGGAAAGCTTTCATATGAATATATCTGGCACAGTATTGACTTTTAAAGGTAGCCGGTGAGGCTTAAATATATTTGAGACTTAAAACAAAAGACGGACCAATGAATTATTTCATCGATTCTCATTATTTCTAATTAAAAATTCATGTAAATAATAAAAAATAAAATAAAATTCTATTTCTATAATATGCATTTATTTGAATGTTTTTTTATTTTATTTTAGGATCGTTTATTAGATTCTTATAACCATTTGCAAACTAATTCACATTTGCTTCGTCGAAAAAAAGTTCAAGAGCTTCATCAGAAATATATAACTTTTGTTACTGATGAATGTTATCCACATCTTGTTCAAATTTTTCATGATTACAAAGAATGGATAAAAAAACATTCAGATATGATTGATGAATTTGAACGTATTCGACGAATATCAGAACAACAATGTGATAATGTAATGAATTATGTTGAAATGATTGATAATCTTCGTCAAGGTGTTTATAAAAATATTCGTGAATTAGATAATGCATCAACAATTCAATCAACAAATGAACAAATTCGAATGTCATTATTTGTACCTGTTAGTCATGAACAATTTCAACTAACACAAACAATAGGAAATAATCAACAACAACAATTCAATTCTGGAGAAGAAAATCCAGAACATTCTAGTAAAACACTTATGAATACTATTCGTGGAATAACAAAAAAAACTATTCAGCATGCTGAAGAAAATCTTAATAAATTAGATAGTGTTATTCAACACCTACGTACAGATATACAAAAAAATAATAATAAAAACCAAAAATGATACATTCCGTGTTCGGTTTTTTTTTCTTTATATTTATGTAAATTTCCAGATTTATATTTCTTTTTTTTCGAGTTTGTATAAACAAGTATTCGTTTTGTCTGTTTGTTCATTATTACTCGGGTGAACTAAAGTGATCATTATCGAGTTTTACTTCGCTTGCCTTAGATCTTGGTTTTTTTTTCTTATGCAAAAGAAAAAAATTGAAACTAGTAAACTATTGATGATCATTAAATGACTCACAGAACAGTGATTTCAACTCTTTTCCTTCCTTTTTTTTCTTATTCTGCATCGGTTTCGTTTTGTGTGTGTCTTATTTGCAACAGAAATAATCGACGAAGAAAAAGCATACAGAATAATGATAAGGTTTTTCGTTTCGCTTTCTTTTTCCTAGATGATTAATTATGGTTTAAACACATAGAAAAGCAATAGATCATTGTTTATGCTTTTAATATGAAGTTGTTTTTTTTATAAAACAAAAAATATTCAGTTTTTGGTTCCTATTGATGATTTCTATAAGTGAATAGTTTCAAAATTGATGCGTAAAGTAAAAAGAAAAGTATAATTTAGCATTTTGTTTTTGCATATAATATTTATAATTCATATGGAAGCATGAATTATGGGTAATGAATTTTAAGTTGAGCGATTATACTATCAAGAACCCTTGCATAAACTTGAGAATCGTTTGATAAAGGACGTTCTGATGAAAATCGCATGTTGAGATTTTGCTGTCCATTTTTGACTGACCTTGCCATCTCCTCGGACGTCCAGTTTCCAACGCTTTTTTTAGAGAGAAATTATTTTCTCAAAGATACCGTTCTTCTTTTTGTTTGTATTAAACGACGGTTATACAGACTTGGAGATGCCAAGTCAGAAGGCCCGACTCCGTGTGTATGTCGTGCTTGTTAGCGAATCAGGATCTTGAAAGTTGCACAAGGGTTGGAAAGATTCATATTGATAGTCTGAAATTTAAAAAACAATCAAGCAGCAAGGAATATAAAATGAAGGTACTGCATAGTAAGGATGTTAGTCATTATTTCACCCGCATCCAAACCCAATCCTACATAATCTCTATATCTTTATTATCCATAGTTTTCATAGATCGACTATCATTTCTCTGTGTTAAAAATTTGAAAATTAGACTTTTGACTTGATTGACAAGGTAAAATTAGAAACGAGCTACAAAGCGTTTTTCACGCTAAGTCGAGTTCAATCCAGGGACGCAACCAGACGGGAATTTGGGGATTGATTCCGCCCCCCCCCCCCCGTCAGAAAGACTGAAATACCTGGAGGGGAGTATGGACTCATTCATTTTTATAATCCAAAAAGTACCTTTCTCTCATGGCGGCCCCTCTCTCCTAAGAGTTTCTGGTTGCGTGCCTGGTTCAATCCGACTTGACTTGACTTGTTATATAGGTAATTCATTCGTAGATATGATATGCCATAAAATTCTGAGAAGTTACTTGTTTGAAAATACTAATCAAAGCAAATTAAATATGAAAATTTCGTAAAAAAAGCTGCTAAACAACAACAACAACGAAAAACCGTAATAAGTGTCTAAATGTCCACATGGTCTCACTAATTGGCTTGATTCCTCCATTCGTCTCGTCTAGTTTTTTCTGATTCTTCTTTTTGTCGATGTCTTTCATAGATGGCCCCTGATACCTCTGATAAAGATTTATATCATAGAATGTTTGAAATCAAACTCAAACTAAGAAAACGAGCCTGGCTCATCTCTTATATCTATAATGACCTTTCGGAAGTTATCGTCCGGTTTGCATCAGCATTCACGTCAGAATTGGGCACTGAGCAACGTCGGTCCATGTCAAATTTGATATTTAAGAGATATTCCCAAGGGATTTCTGTTAGAATCTTCGGATAACCGCTTTCCTGACAACGAAGATTTATTACACTTTTCTCTCAATTTTGATAACGTGACAATCTTAACTCATCAAGTTCACACCTGAGTAAGCTCAAATCTTCAGTGAAAGCTTACCAGACGTGTCTTTTAAATTGTCGCGAGAGAAGAAACGACTCCTACATTTAAAGATCGATTGGTTCTCTAAAAGCATGTAAAGAATCAATTCTTTTTCCATAAAGCAGGTTCAGTTTTCTGACATCTTCTTGCAGACGGATCTTTCACCTGCCTAAGCTGAAAATTGGAGCTCACTCAGTCGTGAACTTGATAACTCACGGTCGTCACATTGACATGCAGCAGGAGCCGAAGATCACCTGTTTTGACAAGTTTTTCTTGTTGGTCATTGTTCTGTCTGGAGAACAAAGCAATCATTGCTACGGGATTCAAGATAGATGAAAACCCAAGGTGAGTTCAATGGAAAAGCATGATTTTTAGGTGTCCCGGCGCCTGAAGTCCACTACTCAAACAGAACAATGAAACAATTTACGGCGTTCGTGGTTTTATAGAGTAGACCCTAGACTACAAGATAGATAAAGTTGGACGGAAAATGAAATAAAGCTTACTGCTCGGGAAAGCGGTTTTTCGAAGGTCCTAACAGAAATCCCTTAGGATTATCAGTCAAATTCTTGAATTTGGTATAAATTGACGCTCAGTGCCTACTTCCGAGTGGTGAAAACCGTAGCCTACTAGTTGTTTACGTTCCTGAGCTACTCAATTTCTTTCACCACATATTCTATCTTGAAAAGGAGAAAAATAGCATTTGAATTTCAAGTGTCTGCTCCTTTGCCCAGGTTAGGATTTGAGAAAAAGCATGGGACTCTTTATATTTATTAAATCAAGATATGCAGCTTATCAACATCAGTAGCTCGTTTTTCTGTTTTAAAAGAACAACATAAACAAGAAAGTATTAAGATTTGAAACCTAAATTCGATGCAATATCATCTACTATGGTTTTGTTTATGATAGATATATCAGCTGTTTATCTTATCTAGTCTCACTTGAAAATTATGAATAAGAAACATGAAGCTTTAGAACTAAAAAGAAATGATAGTTATCTTAAAAAATATTTTTTGACAATAGTAAGACGTGCATGATGTTATCGAGAATACCTTTTCAGCGAAAGTCTAATATGAGACTTAGTTTTCTCTCACTTACATATCAGTTGGAATCCACTAAGTGTCATAAAGTACTGTAGTTAGAGAGGCTGCTCAAGAAATATAGGAGAGGATACCAGATCGAGTGAGTAGAATAAAGAAAAGTAAAAGATAATCTGGAGGGCAGGAAATACGTAGAACGGGCGAGAGTTAAATTAAGAAAAAATAAGAAAATAATCTATAAATGTTAACTATGTCTCTTAGAATCTCACTCGAGAAACAGATAATGTATTAACGCAAGCTTTTAAAACTTATCATTCATGTCACTTTATAACTTTTCTTTCCTTTCCTTTCCTTTCCTTTTTTTTCGGAAAGGAAGATGAAAGTAGAATCCTTCAGCTCTACCCTACCCTACCCTAGGGTAGGGCTAGGGTACGACTCTCGTAGCGTAGGGTAGGACTAGAGTATCATTTTGAAAACTGTAGGGTATTTCAGAGTAAACTTTTCATTATGTCAATCTGGTCTGTTTAAACGACCGACAACCTCTAGTATCGAACAGTATCTTCTATTCATAAACAAATAATGAGAAAATACCTATTGGATGATTACTTCGAGTCATTCATTAATAAACGACAACAGCTGTTAATGTCTTTCGTTTTTCTTTGTCGATATTGTTTATAATATTCCTGGTCCATGTAAATTCTTCCCCACAATAGAAGATCCCCATGAAGGAATGATGCGTCGAACGTAATAAATGACCCCTTTTAATAAATTAATTTCTCGAAAAATTGGAACTTTGATTAGTATATTTGCATCAAAATATGACTAGTTTTCAGGGTTTTTAGCTGAGAATTTTAAAAGAATAAGGTGTGGGTGTGTATTTTGTCTTCATCCATACCTACCTCACACCCACACCCACACACTCGCGAAAACAAAATCATCTTATTTACTTGAATATTAAAAAATCGAGATATAAATTGGTCAACTTTTGCATCAGAGATACAAAACGAACACAGTCTGATGTCATTTATAAATGGCAAAGACAAACCGAACCCAACTGGAACTAGCAAGACTCGGTTTGATTCTGTTTCTATCTCGTGTAACTATAAAATTATTTTGATATTTTATTTTTATTTGTAAAAGTAGTTGACAATATCGGCATATTCATCTTATGATGAGCCTTCGATATCAATCATTAAGTGAAATCAATAAGAAAGCTTTTGAGTGAATAAATGATATATATTTCTCGGTACTATTCGTTTTAATGACTGTACCAATTTATCTTTTTTCGAACTTAGAAAGTGTTGACTGCAGTCAATCTACTCTTCATCGAAAGTCACATCGCCGAAAATCGGTAATTTGTATTTCGACGATATGATTATAAGCAATACCTATCAACTAGTCCTTCAATGGAAAGATTATTTAGCTCAGCTGGATTGGCATTTAATAGAAGATGAACATGTTTATCACCATGTCAAATTAATAACATATTACTTGTACGTTCATACGAGAAATTCAACAAAAAAGCAATAAAAACAAAATTTGTCCTTTCTCGTTGTTCATCTGTTTATATTGATTAAATTTTTAATCCTATAACTTTATGTTTATATTATTATTGTTTTGTTTTCCTTATGGGTGTCAAGTATTTGTTTTTATTGTTCATTTCGTTTCTGCTGGAAAACATGTAATAACGTTAACTAACACTATTATTTTGTGAATGATTTTTGTACAAACAGTATGTCAATGATATTTGACATTGTATCTCATATACAGACAAGTTTTTATTCTTGTCAAAAATGCAAAACCATTCTGCAGATCGGACGCAGGAGGATCCTTTGTCCTACCAGGATCAAGCAAACCGTTCTACACCGTTTTCTGTTATGAGCTATCCCAGTTATGATTCTTAAATTGTTTGAATAAAAAACAAAGATATATGTGAAAATGTTTAACAAAATAGGTTTGAGTTGCTCTTTGTCCTGATTATTAATTATTTATAGAATAAACTTTTCTTTTTCTCTGTTCATTGTTTCTGTTCGAAAAGGAAATTCAACAAATTTTAAGGAACATGAATAAAATTAATTTCTAAAGTACTGGATTTCTCTCTTCCTGTGTATTAGTTCGAATACGAAAGCTAATTGATCAAAGTCAACTTCTATTAATTGTCGAACACAATTTCCAATAGCTACAGTGTTTTATTCAATAGGCAATATTAAGAAAATAGGAAATTTGTTTTTAAGCATGATTAAATATAACTAATAATATAGGTAAGAGATTTTCTAGCCAATAAACGTTCAGAAAACAAGTTCTTGAACATCTAATGTTAATTTTTCACTCGTATGCTGATAAACTTGGCGTTTCGTCGACATTATAATGTTGCTCTGGTTCTGGCATACCAGCAGGTCGTTGTTCACCACCTGTATGAAATGAAACTTTTGCAGATTGACCATTAGGTAAAGCAATCTATATAAAATAAAAATGAGAAATGAATCATTCTTCGATCTGTTTGGAATGATAATTATCATTTACCATAAAATCGTAAAATGCACCGCATCCCACTATTAGACGAATAGTTACTGGTTTCAAGACGAAATCAGATGGAATCGATGGAAATGTTTCACGTACTTTTTTCTCGATACCTTGTGCATGCTGTCAAATAGAAAAATAGATGCAATAGGGATAGGAAAAATAAAAATCTACTAAATATTCAAGATATTCTAAAAGTTCGCCGAAAAAGTGAACTCGTATAACTCCACTATTTATCAAACTTAATCGACTCATTTGTTTTTCAAATTATAGGTATCACTGTAAAGCTTTTATTTATACGAACCAACTTTACAAATACGGTTCAAAGTTATCATTGCAACTGAAATACAAAATCCAGTCTTTTTTCGTTTAAAAAAAAAGCACTTGACAATGTTTCTCTTTTGATTGTTCAGTTTCTTGGGTTTTTTTTGTGGCGTGTTATGGCCAGGTATTGCGCTATCGTTTATATGCATTTATTTCGATATTTCATTGCAAAAAGAAACCTAATAGTGTCAAGTCCGATGATTACAAAGCTCATGAGATGAATTCACCCTCTTCTGTTCATCAGTTCGAAAAGTTACAGAAATTTTATAAGCTTCATAATCATCAAAACTTGACACTATTAGGCTTCTTTTTGCAGTGACATATCGAAATAAATGTATATAGATGATAGCACAAGATCTGGCCGATATAAACACCATAAAAATACAAGAAACTGAAACATTAACAGAGAAACACTGAGAAGTGTTTTTTTTAAACGAAAAAAAGATTGATTTTTGTATTTCAGTTAAACATGATAACTTTAAACCGTATTTGTAAAGTGGGTCCGTATAAATAAAAACTTCACAGTGATACTCATCATTTGAAAAAAAAATTAGTCGATTAAGTTTGATAAATAGTGGAATTATACGAGTTTACTTTTTCGGCGGACTTTTGGAACACCCGATAGTTTACTTGTTGAAAAAGTTTTTGATCATCATCATTTAATGAGTGAAAGCCGTGATTCATCTTAGTCCGAATCTGTCAATGTCGTTGAATGTTAATAAAGTGAATGGTAAGTATATATGTGAATGAAAAAAAAAAACGATGTTTATATATATATTGGTTACGACCAGGTGAATATCAATGGCAGTATATTTTTTTGCGTTCTATGATAATAAAATATTTAATATTTATATAATAGCGTTTAATGACATGTCCTTGGTGTTATGCATTTATGGTCAGTATGATTGGTTAAATATGTGAAAAAAATCTCTGATTACTCGAAGAAAACGAACTAATTTACTCTTTTTTCATTGATGATTATTCATCGTTGATGAATGTAACATTCTTTTTTCTCTTATTTACTTATTTTATTCATGAAGAAAAAGAACATGTTCTATGTAGATATGAATCAAAATAACTTTCTCAGCATGCATAATTTTAGTAAGAGAGTCAGGGTGGGTGTGGGTGAGTGTGAGCCTGGAGAGGGGATGGTTGTAGTCATGATTAGAGAAACACAGACGCCCGTGACCACGCCCACACACCCCACATCAGTGGAGCGCATTATATTTTGAAACAGACAATAGTTATTTTTCCGGATACTTTATATTAACTGCTTGAACGTTTAATGAACTTTAATTTAATACAAAAGGTGATATATTAATGTTTTGTTTTATAGATATAGATGTCGATAAAGAGAATTTTGACACACACAAGAAAAATGATACCCAGAAAAAATGACTGTAAGTGTTTATCTGAGTGAAAACTTGAGAATTGAAGGAAAAATCTTGCAAAATAGCTGTTGCAAATATTTTCAACTGTTCTACAATTGTGTTCTCATTTACTTTCGTGAACTCGAGCAGAACATGAAAAGTTACATTTTCTCGAAAGGACATTAGGTTTTCCCAAAAAAAGCTACGAAAATCCACTACTAACTGTTTTCTTCACTATTATCCCATGTGATTCGAACCGGAAAAAAACCGGCGGTATACCGCCGGTAGACCGTTCGGTATAATGTGCGCTCTACCGGCGGTTAACCGGCGGTTTTGCCGGTAGTTGCAAAAAAACCNTTCTGCTCTGTCCTAGCAAGTGACAGAATATTAAGAATCCTTATTGTGACTTTCGATCAATGGCGTAGCCAGGAGTACGGTCATTGGACAATTGCCCAGTAATTCAAAAGTAATTGCCCATGGATTTTTTGAAACGATACCAATTACCCGATGCCGAAAAATCTTGACACATATACGCGTACAAAAATCTAAGTAACGTCACCTTAATACATTTTATCTTGTTGTGATCTAATCAAGTGTTCCTGCAAAATCAACTGGCTATTTCTTCCATTAAACCAATGCTCACAATGATGGCAAATCAATGATATTTTTTTTGTCACAACACTCGTTATTCCACTTAAATTCACTAGTGGTTCTATCTTTGCTTATTTATTCTATTTCGCCTAATATATTCAAATATTGGAAAGTTGAAGAGTACATTTGTGAAACAGTCCAAAAAAATGTGTTAATGCAATTCCTTCGGGATTAAAATGTGAAAAACGATGGAGCTATTGTTACTAATCACGAGAATATTGTTTTATTCAATCTATCTTGACATCCATTTCTTTATCATCTTTTACTTAATCCTCTAGAACTGCAAGAAGGAAGTAGTTCATATATTCTGATGAGATGCTAGTGATCTATGATCGCTAATTGTGTATCAAAACATCTGTCACCGTCTGTGAGGGAGGAACACAATGGACAGTCAGGCGACAAAATCAATTATCGAGATTTGAATCCATGTCATAACTAGCATTGAAGCTACTATGGTACTGCATTTAAGTGCATCCTAGATGCTGCTTGATAATGAGTGTCTTTTAAGCAGCAGGTACTACAAAGTACATAAAATTGCTGAATATCATTATTGGAGGATCATATAAATAAATTGTATGTTTTAAATTGAGGATCTAATTATAATCATTAGTTATTATATAGTTATACGGTGTTATGTCTTTACTATATATTATAGGCCATTTGGACTTCTTGAAGTTCTTTAGCCTATAGTAAAATCAAAAACTTACACTCAGTATAGTAAAAAATAACCACTAGTCAATAATGCAGTTATTTTCCAGAATTTTCTCGGAACTTTAATTCGAGTTTGAATTTGTTATTTGATATAGCATGTCATCATCTATCTTCACCAGATGGGCAATGATGAGCATTTAAACCCTTGTCGAGATATAGTGTCTCAAATGTAGCCTTCTATCAAAACTTATTAGCAACTTTTATACAGTGATCACGTATGTTTTAGTCCATCAAGTTGCGAACAGATAAATAAGCAGCACACGTACACCAACTTCAGATTTTAGATTGACCATTTCGTTTTAAAATCGGTTCTATGACTCTTTCTTAGGAATTAAATATATGAAAAAATCATGCATAGGTTTCCTTGTAAGACGTACATCCCCCCAAAAAAATCTTTCTTCTCTTTACCTTTTTATGATGTCAATCTTTGTATTAAATTTATTACTGAGTAGAGATATGACATGAAAGTTTTATTTCATTTTATTGTACAGATTACACTAATAAAACTCTCATATCATACCTCTACTCAGTAATAAATTCGATGCAAAGTGTGGTAGCATACAAAGATAAAAGGAGAAAAGATTTTTCTCCAAGGTTGTAAATGATTTGTTTTATACTTTAATAATTTTCACGTTCGTAAAAATGCACCGAGTTGCACGATCTTTCTAAATTTCGCTCGAGACAGATAATATTAGTGGAAGTGAATAATTTTCGTAATAAGAGCCAACACAGATTACAATACATACCATGACTATCTCGAAATTTAGATTTTACACAGAACTTCAGAAAATATGAAATATTCAAAAACTCATTTTAGGACGTTTCAGGACATATTACAGCATGATTTCAAACATCACATAACATTTATAAAAATTTTCTACAACATATCAGAGAGACATTGCTGAAACTCGCGAAATAGTATAAACTGACCTGAAGTATTTCTATCATTTTGTTTTTTTGTGATAAGCTTCATAGCATCAGTGAGCTCATTTCAATGTCACGACTAGACTTGTGTCAATATGTACATTTTCAAAATATAATCTGATGCATATATAGAAATTTTAAACAAGGAACTGGGTCTTCTATGTAAGTATTTACCTAGCTAAAACTATTAATTGAGCTTGACTATTATTTGTGACTAACGTCGACCAATCAGATCATAAACAGCCGGTATTATTAAAAGAAAATGCAACTGTGGAATCAATCCTTGCTCGAAATTAGATGACTTTCTAAAAATTTTAGATTACCAAGTATGTTTTAGTATGTCTCTCTTATATGCAAAACTCTAATGCTTTTGAGTTGTATCCATCGCCTGCTTACTAATTCATTTATAGTTTGCTATCAAGAGAGTTTTCTCAAGCAGTAAACTATTTTAAAACACATACTTTTTCTAAAGATATTTGGCATATACGTATATGTGTGCTCCACTATAACCAAGCAATGAACTTTTCGTCAAAGGTCTTAAGATTTTACATTTAAGTAATTCACACATTAAAATGAATATCGAATGAAAACTATAAAATGATATCTAATTTGCACCCTTATTTTTTTTTCTGCAAGGATTTAAAAATTGGAAACAAATTATTGATGATAATCTGCTTCAGGCTTTTGAAGAGTAATTAGTCCATGATAGATTTATATAATACATAGTTAATAAGTGTATCAAATATATGAAAACAAAATTGTTGTCTCATTTTTGCTAAACAACATTATAATGGAACAACTATTTTTTATTGTGCTAATTTGCACTTTTTGACAGTCGAAAACTTAATTTTCCAGTAGTCTTTAGAGCAAGAGAAGTTGGGTAAGCTCATATAATTGCTATGAAGTGTCAGCTATATATACACAAAATATTAAGTTATTAGCTGCAATCATTAAAACAATGGCTTCTGGTCACCTTGTTCTGTTCACTGTGGGAGAGTAGGATCCGAATTTCTACCAATATACACTTCAACACTCTTTTTAGATCGTATTTCACAAAATCGAAGGAGTTCTCCTCTTGGCTGAGAGTAACGAACATCTTTTCAATAACATCGGCTTTTATCATGACAATAAGTTTAAAAAATTGCAACCCAATTGATTTTTAATTGTCCATTGCTGCCCATTCCTCAAAATAATTTAGCCGGCAAACGGTCCATGACTTAAAGATTCCTAGCTACGACACTGATCTAAACTTTACCTGACGCATAGACAAAACAAAAAGAAAACAAATGTTTTTATAAACGCATTTTATTCTTTTATGTTGATCTAATTATTAAAATGTGATCCAATCCAATTATTCAGGATTAAGATTAGTTCTTCTTTCTTAGATAATCAAATCGGCTTCCAGGAATCATCTCTCTACCACAGATGAGCATGGTGCAACATGCTCTGTCATGTCTTGTACTAATATCTGATTGCCATGNCATTTAAGTGCATCCTGGACGCTGCTTTATAGTGAGTGTCTATTAAGCAGTAGGTACTGCAAAGTACATAAAATTGGTGACTATCAGTAATAGGACCATATAAGTAAATTGTATGTTTTAAATTGAGAATCTAATTATAATGATTAGTTATTATATAGTTATACAGTCTTATGTATTTACTATATATTACAAGCCGTTTGGGCTTCCTGAAATTATTTAGGCTATAATACAATCGAAAACTCACACTCAGTATAGTAAAAAAATAACTACTGGTCAATAATGCAGTTATTTTCTCGAATTTTACCGGAACTCTAATTCGACTTTTAATTTGTTATTTGGTAGAGCATGTCATCATCTATCTTCAGTGGATGCGCAAAGATGCGCGTTTAAATCCTTGTCAATATACAGTGTCTCAAATGTAATCTTCTATCAAAATTTGTTGGCAATTTTTAAACAGTGATCATTCATGTTCTAGTTCATCCAGTTTTGAATAGATAAATATACAGCACACGTACACCAACTTCAGGTTTCAGATTGGTCATTTCATTTTAAAATCGGTTCTTTGACACTTTCTTAGGAATTAAACATATGAAAAAATCATCCATAGGTTCCCTTGTAAGACGCACACTCCCAAACAAAAATCTTTTCTCTCTTAATCTTTTTATGATGTCAAACTTTGCACTAAATTTATTATTGAGTAGAGATATGACATGAAAGTTTTATTTCATTTTAGTGTACAGATCACACTAATAAAACTCTCATGTCATATCTTTATTCAGTAATAAATTTCATGTAAAGTGTGGCAGCATAAAAAGATAAAGGGGGAAAAGACTTTTGTCCGAGGGTGTAAATGATTTGTGTCATACTTTTACAATTTTTCCGTTCGTAAAAATACACCGAGTTGCACGATCTTTCTAAATTTCGTCCGAGACAGATAATGTTAGTGGAAGTGAATAATTTTCGTAATAAGAGCTAACAAAGAATGCAATACATATAATGAATATCTCGAAATTTAGATTTTAAACAGAACTTCAGAAAATATGAAATATTCAAAAACTCATTTTAATACGTTTCAGGACATATTACAGCATGGTTTCAAACATCATATAACATTTATAAAAGTTTTCTACAACATACCATAGAGACATTGCTGAAACTCGCAAAATACCATAAACTGATCCGAAGTATTTCTGTCATTTCGTTTCTTTTGTGACAAACTTCGTAGCATCAGTGAGCTCATTTACATGTCACAACTAGACTTGTGTCAAACCTGAACATTTGAATTTGATGACTGTTCTTCAATATTTGTTGACTCGAGTTTGGGCACTTTTTTCCATTCTCATCTGTACATTTTCAAAATATTATCTGATGCATAAATAAAAAAGTAAAAAAAAGAAACTGTGTCTTCTATGTAAGCATTTACCTAGCTAAAACTATTAATTGAACTTGACTGTTATTTATGACTAACGTCGGTCAATCAGATCATAAACGGCTGATATTATCAAAAAAAATGCAACTGTGGAATCAATCCTCGTTCGAAATTATATGACTTTCTAAAAATTTTAGATTGCCAAGTATGTTTTAGTTTGTCCCTCTTATATGTAAAACTCTAGTTCTTCTGAGTTGTATGCATCATCTGTTTACTAATGTATTTATAATTTGCTATCAAGAGGATTTTCCCAAGTAATAAACTACTAAAACACATATTTTTTCTAAAGATGTTTGACATATACGTATATGTATGCTCCACTATAACCGAGCAGCGAACTTTTCCTTAAAAGTCTTAAGATTTTACATTTAGGTACTTTGCACATTAAGATGAATACCAAATGAAAACTATAAAATGATGTCTAATTTGCACCCGTATTATTTTTTTTCTGCAAGGATTCAAAAGTTGGAAACAAATTATTGATGATAACATGCTTCAGACTTTTGAAAAGTAATTAGTCCATGGCAGATTTATATAATACATAGTTGATAATTGTATCAAGTGTATGAAAAAAAAATTGTTCTCTCATTTTTGCTAAACAACATTATAATGGAACAACTACTTTTTACTGTGCTAGTTTGCAGTTTTCGACAGTCGAAAACTTCATTTTCCAGAAGTCTTTCGAGTAATGGTGATTGAGTAAGCGCAGATAATCGCTATGAAGTGCCAGCTATATTTACACAAAATATTAAGATATTAGCTGCAATTATTAAAAGAATTGCTCCTAGTCCTCTTTTTCTATCCACTGTGGACGAGGGAGGGGGGGGGATGGCAGGGATTCAAATTTCTACCACTATATACCTCAACACTCCTTTTAGATCATGTTTTTCACAAAAGCGAAGGAGCTCGCCTCTTAGCTGAGAGTAACGAACTTCTTTTCAATAACATCGGTTTTTGTGATGGCAATAAGTTTAAAAACTTGTAGCTCAATTGATTTTTAATTGCCCATTGCTGCCCACTCCTCAAAATAATTTAGCTGGAGAACGGCCCATAACCTAAATATTTCTGGCTACGCCACTGGTGCCATAAAAAGGTGGGCTTCTATATACTCAGCTCAATAGTACAGTGTTCACTATCTTATACGATTCTTTTGTCCTGAAGTTATAGGGTGCACAATGAAAATTGAGGACACTAAGGAAACCTTCTCTTGGCTTGAAGCGCTCAATGTGAGAAACGTGTAGTTAGTGGCTCGTAACCTGGGCAGCATAAGCACATACACATTTCGGAGTGCTTGTCCTTATACTGGTTACGTGTTGAATGATTGTCTTTGGCCACTTATAGCAACTATTGTAGAAAGAGATACAGCAACTGCTAGCGATATTGGAAATGGCATAAGAGGATAGGGAAGTTCATATGAGAAGTCTGAAAAAAAAATATAATTTCTTATTGCCGCTTCTATGTATTGTTCATCACTGTTTAATCCTCTTCAAGGTGCTATCCTCTTTTTAACTTTTCAAGCTGTTTACACTTATGAAGCAAAATGCTTGTTCATCGTTCTATTCGGTCTTATTTTTGGAAAATAAGCATGTAGGCTGTTTGCTGATTGCAGCGAGTAGTAAAAGCTCAAAACTGGCCGAAGCCGAAAACTCTCTAGTCACTTTAATTTTCGGGACAGCTATTAGATAGCATTGCTTAGTTCACAGAATAGTTCGTTCTAGTAATCAAAGAATCGTCACGGACGATGCCAAATGGGATGATAGGATAATGATAGATCGGATGATCCGACATTTTCCTTCATGACTTACTATTTTAATGCCTCTTGTAGGCCCCTTCTTTTTCCAACCGATAATTGCACAGCCCTTCAAAGACTTTTCATCAGCTACTAATAATATGGGATTCCTTTAACAAGCCTGTATTCATCAATGAATTATGATCTTCTACAATTCATTGGCGTCAAGTTTGCACGATGCCAGAGAGACAACGACAACATTCTTTCGATGGTTAGTGTAGGAATGGAAACCGTTGAAAAAACGGTATTCTGTAAAGAGATGAAATCATAAATGCATATTTGGGAGAGACTCTTGGGAATAGGTCACGGCGAAACTAAGTCAAAAGTTTCCCAGCTGTCGATGGTAGTTCGGTTAGCAATCAATTCACTATTTCCGAAGTTGTCAGCACATACGTATTTTCCATTAACTGCAATAAAAGCTACCTTTCCATTACCACGATCAACGATTCGAAAAGTTTCCCAAGAACTAATTGAAGTGCGATTGGCTATCAAAGAACTGTTTCCTGCATTTTCAGCGCAAACATATTGTCCATTGGCATGTGACTTGAGAGCAACATTATCTCCATTTAGAGTGATAAGATCGAATGTTTCCCAAGTAGATGTAACATCACGATTGGCAAATAAAGGACTATTTCCAGCATTGTCGGCACACACAAATTTGTCGTTGGCGTTCGAGCGAAGGGTAATAGTTCTGAAAGTATTTACTATGGGGTGGATGCCGGGACCCTCATCATTGTGGCTGTGGAATTGTACATTGCCAGGCACTATGTAAGCGCTGCTGGTACCACTATCAGCCAAGGAAGGGATGGAATCATGTACTGTGATACCACGAATATCAGTCAGTTGAACACGCAGTGGTTCATTACCAAGACCAGTGGCAACAAAATGATTGCAATCCATTTTCTCTACGTTGATCCATTGCCCATCTTTCCAATGTTCAAACTTCACCACCGGATACTTGTGATTACGAACCTGAATAGCAGCCCACCATTGGCTGCTTCCCTCTTTGATTCGATAGCTTATGTTTTCAGTGATTGGTGCCTCAATAACTTTCCATTGAATATCGATTTTGCCATCAGCCATATTACCGATCACAGAAAAAGCATTTGGTGACAGGTCCAGCGCTCCGCTTGCTCCTTCTGGATATAAATCTGTTACATAGACAACAGTCTTTCCGTGCGGTCCCGTAACTTCCAGATACGCACCAGCCATATCTGCTTTAATACAATTGTAGTTGTACTGGAAAGGATTCAGTGCCGTAATTTTCATATCGGATGGAATTGGGTCTAAGAGGGCGGCTCCACCGACATATCCAGACCCTGTGTATGTTGCATATCCTCGATATATATCATTCCAATTACTCATAATAATTTCTATTTACTGTGATTGGCAATTGAATTTTATCAAAAAGAACTATGCAAAAGTGTGTAGATATCACATAACAGTTCGAAGTATAATCTGCTAGAGAAAGTTTTGTTGGTAATCAGTGTCATTTAGGGGGCGGGGGGGGGGGGGGCGGCCAACTATTCTCAAAAAGTCGATTTTTAAAGAACCACATCTATTTGTAGCTTTGCATATCCTCTTTTAGAATATGTATAAATTATATATGAATGGAAAATATTTAGCCCAATTTCGGTGAATTTATTCGAAGCCATGGACGAAAATAGGCTGTCTTAGTGGTTGCCCTTAGTTAGATTGGGAGCTACGTAATATTGGTTCTTCTTATTCCTCAACTGTCTAAGACAATCTTTGTGTCCAGAAATCATCCTCTGAACCTCTTTATATGGTTTTAAAACATTCTTTACTGTTAAAAGAAAATCAATTGTCGGAAAAGTGGCGCTACACTAATGAGGGAACCGTTGGAAGTGTTTCATCGCTTTTGACTCCAGATTTTGCCCATAAGTAGGAGACCTGTAGACTAGAAAAACTCAAAGAGAATATGGATCCATGTTGCAATTTGACTGAGATATAGAGGTTTTACGGAAATGTTCCTGCAGGACTCTGATTTTCTAACACAATCATATTTTTGAATTTTGACTTGAAATTTTGCCTATATCAAGGTCTCAACTAAACTAGCTTGTATACAAAATTCCAGAAGTTTTGGACATACTATCGCCGAGATATGAATTACCATTAATACTCATGTTTTGTACATGTATCTCTGGAGAAGTGCCTATATTTTGAAATAATCATATCTCGGCGATACTACATTCAAAACTTCTGATCTTTTTCATGCAAGTTAGTCTAGTTGACATATTGATATGAACAAAGTTTCAAGTCAAAATTCGAAAATATGATTTTGTTAAAAAATCAGGCTCCTCCAGGGATATTTCCGTAAAACCTCTATATCTCAGTCAAATTGCAACATGGACCCATATTCTCTTAAGGTTTTTCTAATCTGTAGATCTCCTACTTATGGGGAAAATATGGAGTCAAAAGCGATGAATCACTTTGAACGGTTCCCTCGTAAGTTCAAAATCGAAAATCAGTCTTATTCTTCTGTCAAAAATATCATCAAGTGGAGGAACATTTTAGGTGCTTTCCAATAATGTATAACATGTTACAAATTTCTGCACAGCCAAACTACGAACCAGAGACCGACACAGGAAGGACTACTCCGTTGCCCTGCCGATACTTTATTGAGAAGTTTTGATTGAATGACACTTTATTGATCCGAATAGCTCAGGATTGAAAGAATGTTGAAAAAATATTCACTATTTCTCATTTATCTTTCGTTTGACTATCATATTGTGCGATCAGAATTATTCTATTCGAGTTCTCTTGGTGATGAAAAACCACGACAATTCCACTGAGATGTAGAACAAATGATTCGTGCTAAGACTGTTAACGGCAAATTTATACGAACGTGCAAATTCAAAGCACGCTCTAGTCGTTTGACTTATGAGAGAGAACCATAGTAGCTCCGCCACGATCCATGAGAGACCTCTTTCAAACGTCCGAGGCGAACTATGATCGTGTGCAAATGACATTGTGAAGTAAAATTTTTAAAACAAGCTTCCATGGTTGACATATTTGAAAGTCTTCGAAGAGCCTCAAAACAGTTTTCACCATACTCAATTTATACTGAGTAGTGCAATTTAACACAGACGAATTCCGAAAAACTGTCTCTACACTTTTAGGTACAAGTTTTTTCTTGATTTTGAAATTAGCGTCAGTATCTTTTATGCCGCTGTATAATAGGAAAAATTTCTCAGGTAAAAGTCCCGTTTTTTATAACTACGTAAATGGCGCAGAACTTCTAAATAATGAGAAATTATTGGTTCAAATTTTTATCCTATGCTGGTTACGTTACATTTTCTATATGCTGAGATTCTCGTCGAAATCTATTATATCGTTTAGGAAATGGGTTTATCAGCTGATTCCATTTTAAAAAATTTGTGACATCAGAGTTTGATCGAAGCATCTACGAGCAGCTGCCATGATCACAGTTCAATGCAATAGATTGCGGAGAACCCATACATTTGTATACTACACAATTAGTAAAACTTTCGTGGAAACGCATCTGAACGACAAATCACTACTACGGTTTGTACGTGTTTATACGTAACACTTATCAAACATAATAACTAGCTACATTCACCTCATTTAGCGCGTGCAAGCGCTATCAAAGTCTACTTCCATGACAAGAAGACTACCAAAAACAGTAAAAAAGACTTTTTCCATTCCACTCGTAAAAAGTTCTACTGATTTCTAAAACGAGCGTGGGTTGCAGTGTGCCTGATCAACAGCCACATCCATACCCGACCGAGTGGATACAGTGGGAGTAGGAGATGATATGCCAATACCATGGGACTCAGCATTCTGGTGAAGACGTTCTGTGTCACTGACCTCCTCTCTCCAGTAACTTCTGGTTCGGCTACTGCACGAAACAGATCGACACCCATTGTTATGTCTCTTATCTTCGAATGACGACAGAACGGAGAAAAAGAATCCCCCTTCGCATGGAATCGAACCATGCACCTCCTGCTTACCGGGCAGACGTATTAACCACTGTACTAGAAAGGGTATCTATTCTCCGTCTTACGATTGTATGGGAACAATACGATCGTAACA